TGACTTTTAATTTTTAACTGTCTGTTTTTCTTATTTTTAATTGTTTGTTTTTAACTTCTGTACTGTGCAACACTTTGTGCACCTTTTGACTGCTGGAAAGGGATCTATAAATAGTTTGATTGATTGACAGAAAGAATTCAGTAGAACATTATTTAAAACATTTTTATCAGCACTTTAAAGGTGATACAATGTCAGAAGTGGGGACAGGGAGGTGCAGTGGCGACTCCACCCTGACTTTGAGGCTGCAGAAACTGAGAAACCCGCAGTATAAAGCGTTGAATATGAATTTATTCAGAGCAGGACACTGAGTGAGGCGGCTGATTCTCTCCTGTGAATGAGGTGAAAGTCTGAGGCACAGATCAAAGACTCCATCAGTCTCAGTCCCAGGAAGAGCCAGGAGGGCCGCCTGTCTCCGGATCAGTGATTAAAAGATGTGAGATTAAACAGGAGGAGTGAGACCAGACCAGGCTGAGGCACCAAACTCCTCACTGCCTGGATCTATGACACCTGTTTACTGTAAAGATAACCGGGTGTCAAACAATCTGACGGGAAATGTTTTGCTTCAACCTTCCAGCTGCTCCCGGGCAATTCGACATGACACATTTCCCAAAGCGGATTGAATGAAGCTGACCTCCTACCTTCAAAGAGATGCTCTCACATGGGAACATATCAGCTATTTATGGTGCTTCGTAAAAGTTAGCTCCAATTCAAGCTTCTCTTACCTCAGAATTACATTGGTAAACAATATTTCTCATTTCAAATGTAGGGGAGTGGTGGAACAGTGGTTAGAGAAGGTGGGCCTGTGATCAGAAGGTCGCCAGTTCAACTCCCCGTACCAACATCAAAATGTGGGTGGGAAAAGTGAAGCACCCACTTCTGGGTCCTTGAGCAAGGTCCTTAACCTCCACCATCTGTTCCCCCGGGCACCCTGGATGGCAGCTCTCTGCTCCACACAGAGGGCTGTGGTAGCTCGCTCCTGCAAAGGAAGGTCATTGGTGAACAAAGGCTTCTTATTCTGTTATCTCCATGAGAACGAGTCTGAGAGTATTCCTTTGGATACAATGAGAGATATTAACTATCAGTTCAGATGTTCCTCCAAGGTCAGGTTCAAACAAAGGCCTCTATGGAAAGATGAGTTCATAATGGGTTTTAACAGCACAGAATAATATCTTTATCACATTAGTGTCCAATTTAGAAAGTTGTGATCTGAACAAAGAACGTTTTATAAAATGGGTGGAAAGGATGAATGTCTTATTTTAACAGTTTCAAACACAAACCAGTTTGGGGGTCTTTGTCTGAGGTGAGGTGTCCCTCACTGTGGGGACGCCTGAAGAAGCAAGCAGCCGAAAGAAGAAGACAAAATTTATCATTTAAAATATTCTGAAAGAATTTCCAAGTGTGCGAATGCAGCATCTGTCTGAAATTTCTATATTAACTTTGTAATAATCTGTTGGCATGACTCTTTTTATTGTGTTTCTATATTATGGCTGAGAATATAATTCCCTCCTTCTTATCTCGACCTGGAGGCCGTCTCGCTGACTCGCAGTACCTCCTTGGTGTTGTCACCATGAGAACATGCACAAAACATTCTCTTATCTCCATCTGGAGGCCGACTCGCTGACGGCCATGGACCATGTGCATGTGTGTGACTGCAGCTGGCTGAGGGAACGCCCGCTGGACTGCACAAAACTCTATTGGACACTTGTTCTGTGACATCATGTTATGCACCCAAGAGAAGATAATGTAATCTGTCTTGAACGAGTCCTCGCAGGTTAAAAATCTCCTGCTGTCGAGTGTTCTTTGTGAGTAAGAGAAATTATTTTCCCCCGACATAATCTAATAAATAAACATGCTTAAATTGTCATGTTAAAACTTTATAAGAAGTGTAAAACAAGCCAAGAGTCAGTGGCTCAATATAGTCACCATGGTAACCATACACCTGTCTCACTCCCTGACACCACTCTAAAGACAGAAACGGACTAAAAATGAAGCTGCAAATGAACTATTGATGTGCAAAAATCAAGTCGTATCCTAAAAATATTTGCACCCCGAGCAACAAGACTGACAGTCAGACGTGCATTTTTATTTATTTTTTTGCTCACTTCAACAGTGTTCTGTGTCCATTTGACAAGTTATACATTCAGAATCAGTTTTGAATGGAAAACTGGTGCCAAATCATCACAACTACTGAAGCTTCGGCGTGCGCTCTCTGCCCTCGCATGGAATTGAAGAGAAAACTATTCATCTACAGCAGTGATGGACACACTGTGTTAAAAAAGACAAAAATGTTGATGTTTTGATGCTCTATTTGTACATATACTAAACAAAATGATGGAAGTAACAAGTTTGCTAAGTTTAGACAGCTGAAAACTTTGTGACATCATTACACTCTAGGTTGAACCTTCTACAGGAAATTTAAAAAAAATTAAAATCAGTGTTTGTGTAAATCTGTAAAAGAAGACAAAATACCAGTTCTTCTATATAAAGTCTAACTTTATGATGTGACCCGTCTAAACTTTGAATGATGTGTGAAGCTGTATGGGCTGTCAGTGACGTGCATTATTCCAAATCAAGTTGCACATTTTGATGTATAATTGACTATTTTTTGTTCAAATCTGTGTGGTATGAAAAACAAATAAATAAATAAAACATTTGAATTGAAAGAACAGATACATAACTTTATTATGAATAAGTAAGGATAGCTTAGAGTTCCAAGAAACAGTGCAGGAAGATTATTGATGTTTTAAAACCCTTGTGTGAATAAAGCATGCTTATATGTAGTGCAGTGTTTTGTGTGGAAGGTCCTTGGTAAAGCTGCTCCTGACTGAGTCCATGGACGAACTGGCACATTTAAAAACATTTGATTCAGAGCAACATGTTCATTGTCAATAAAAAGTGCATTACATTCATTCAACGTCAAGGCAAAGCTCAACGAAAATGCCATCATTTCACAGTATTCTGCCAAATGTAGTATTTTTTATTCACGTCTTTATTTAGTCTTTGGTTTCATCGAGTCTATTCGTAAAAGGATGTTCTTTTTAAATTTCACAGTAGAGACTTAAATAAACGGATTTGATTGTAAACAGTGCAGTGTGGACGGGGCGCCGGAGCAAAACGCGAGTCACTGTGCCTCAGGATGGAGAGCGGAGGATAAAAATAGCTGAGAGGAACTGCCTGCCAGTCACCCACCAGTCTGCTTCCAATCCTCAGAGCAGTGACTTATTACTGGGAATAGATCTCACTGTCTGCCTGCATCTCAGACAGAAGACGTTAATTTATTCCTGTCTGACGTTGTTTACCGCAGATGAAAAAGAATCTGCACACAACTCAAATTAATGAGGTCCTTTGGAAAACTATAGAAGTTCTGAGAATTTTCAGCAGGTCAGACAAACAAACCTGACAACACTCAGGATGCACACAAACAGGATCACTGGCCTCTTTTTGTCTTGAACTCCATCAGTGGTTCCTGGTTTTCACTAAAGCTGCAGTAACTGCAAATGGGATCGTTTTAATTTGGCAAATGAGGTCAACTGCTGTGTCTGTAGAGGAAACTGTTGGATGAAGAGCAGAAAAAGCCTCAATCCAACAGGTCAAGTGTGGACTTGTTGGTCTGAATAGACGTTTTACAAACTCTAAGAAGTAGAATGTCAATGTCCCCTGTTGATGAAGGTTTTAAATGGTGATTTTTTTTGTATTTTTAAAAGATATTTTTCTGGACGAGAATGAAATGGCAAATGCAAGTGAACCGTAATGTTTTGGTGCAAAATATTCAAGTGGGTCCGAGTTTCACTGTGCATAAGAAGTTTTTTTTTTGTGCTTGTCCAAGGTAGGGAAGAGAACCAGATGTGAGTGGAGGAAATTATTTTATCCACCATCAGGTGAAATGGCTGAGCCAGGGGGCAGCCAATGGTGACCTTGGGATCAAGGTGGTTGGTTTACTATGGCGGTAAAACACGTTTGACTTCAGATAGAGGAATAAGGCTAAATATAAGCTACGGATGCACAATATTATCTGCATGGTATCGGCTGATATTAGCGTTAAAGTTCAATATAGGGCATCGGCCATTCCATCAAAATAACTCACCGGTATAAAAGGCAGTTTTTGTACGACAACCCAGTGACAAGGATGTCTGCAGCAGCAGCACAATGTGATGAGGTCACGTGCGTCACCTACCTGATCTCACGGCGGAGAGGAAAATTCTAAATGTCGGCCGTGTGGAAGTTTATTTTTCGTTGAGGATGTCGGATCCCGAAGATTTGTGGACTACATCGAGCCTCGCTACATCGTCCCCAGCTGGAGATATTTTTCCAAAGTAACTTTACCCGAATTATAAGTAGTTGTTTCTGACGTTGTTGAGAAGCTAATAGCCGATAGCACTTGGGTGAGTTTTACCACAGACATTTGGACGTTAAGTGTTAGCCCCGTTAGCGATTAGTCTTACAGCACAATGAATAGACAAAAACTTTTAACAAAAAGACTGTCCTTCATGCACAAGAGTGCAGAGGATCCCACACTGCAGCTAGGAACCTGGAACAAGCCTCCACAAGTGAGACAGCATCACAGGTGACTAATGCTAATAAATAACATTTAACACTTTTCATTTAAGATAAGTTAAAGTGCTATGTATATCATATGGCTGTTACTGAATATATGTCTCCAGCTCTTACAGCTGTTGCACAAGTTTTGTAACAAATGGGCCTAAATAGAGGGCTATGTTCTGACAAAGGAAAGTATATAAAACATCGGTATCAATTATCGGCCAAATAAGTTTTAATATATCGGCATATCGGCCAAAAATCCACTATCGTGCATCCCTAATATAAGCAGAACAACCGACTCATCCAACGACTGAGGCTAAAAATGATCAAAAATGAAAACTGAGAAGAGGAACCACATTCTAAAGAGAACAAAGATTAGAACCAGACACACAGTACTAAAGCAAAGTTTATTAGAATAAACAAAGAGAACATCACAAAGACAAAATAGCTATAAATCTACCATTTTCCTGTTTTCAGCATTGTTACTCCAGACTTCAGTAATAAACTCAAAGCAGTCAGGTTTATCCAGCGTGAAGCAGAGGATCAGCAGATCTTCAAAACTTCATGTAACTGTCAACAAACATGGCAGAAAATGGTTTAGGTGAGAAAAAAATAATATTTTAAATTTTATAACGACACTGTGCAGGTCCACACACTGAAACACACCCAGACCAGGACTTTTACTTTGGTCTTTCTGTCCAAACAAGTTTCATTTTGCCCGGGCTACACTCATCCTGTAGCACCTTCAGGGTCTTAACCGTGGACATCTCACCAAGGTCTGAAGGACGAACACGAACACCATCTTTAGAATTATTTACACATTTGCAAAAGCCCAATGTGTGGTTTTCCCAACCATTCCTCCTCCGGGCCACCGTCTCACTCAGCGGGTGTCTAAACGTTGACAGAACTAGTGGATCCTCGTCAGCTCCTCCACAATCTTAATCACCTCGTCCACTGTGGCTTCACGCTTCATGCCGCTGCCATCATCGATCTGAAATTGAACGACATCAAGCGGTGAGCCTCCTCTGCTGAGAAAAACCCACTCGTCCCATGGCACCACTAATGTGATGAGATCAAAAAACAAATGCAGGTACAAGAAAAAAAACAGATGAGTTACAAAAAAACACTCGTTTTTAGATTAAAACGTTTCATAGAAACTTGGAAGTAGTCTGGTGACTCATTTCTTTAAAATAAGGTTGCGTCCAAATATTTTGACAATTATAAATACAAACTTTGTTTCTGTCCATGAGGCTGACACCTTGTCTACTTTTAACATCAGACTTAAGTCTTTCCTTTTTGATAAATCCTATAGTTAAGGTTGGCTTGGTTTATTGAGCTGTCTCTTAGTTATGCTGCTATAGGCTTAGACTGCTGGAGGACAAATTAACCACATTTCTTCTGCATGCTATTGTCTTTACTTACTCTACCTGTTGTACTTGTAATTATTTACATCTTAATGTGTTTTTTGTCTTTCCTCCTATAGAAAGTCCATCTGGACCTCCCATTCTGTGTCTGTTCCTCCTTCCTGTCCTGTCAAACCCAGCTGGTCGAAGCAGATGGCCACTCGTCCTGAGCCTGGTTTTGCTGGATGTTTCTTCCTGTTAAAACAGAGTTTTTCCTTTCCACTGTCTCCTTTGTGCTTGCTCAGGATGGGAGTCTGTGACAAAGTGAAGATTCACCTTCTGGCTTCCTTCCTTAGAGAACTTTTACTAATTGGCTTTTTTTTTATATATATATATATATATATGTGAATGTTTCTGTTCAGTGTCCTGAGAAAACCTCTGTTGTGACATGGTGCTCTATGAATAAACTGAATTGAATTGAATCAAACTTCATATTTTAATATGAATATCTTCTGTATGCAGGTGATGTCTCTGCTACAACACGGGGTACTCCTAATGTTCTAGTTTTTGCAGAATGTTGGCCTTGAACAGGAATGTCCTGGAAAGGAAACCACTTCAATCGTCCGTTTCTGTTTATAGTTTAGATGAAAAATGTGGAACAGACGGATATAAAAGATGGCTTTATTGCAAAAAATAAAAGAAATAGTCACACACACAGTGTGTATGGGCATTTGGCTTTCTGCCAAAAGGGACTTTTTCCACCTGGTATGCAGCATGAGTGAATTTTTTAGCTCATGTTCAAAGACAGCATTGTCTTTCAAAGCTCAATGCTGGATTTAAAAACCCAAATGACACAACTTTTACTACTTTTTTCTGTTGGAGCTCTGCTGTTATAATACAACCCAAATCATCAAATAAGATTTTATCATTTCAGAGAAACAAAATGTGACCACGTGAACATGTTCAACTTTTGCAACAGATTTTGTCTCAGAAATAGTTGACCATCTCTCGTTCAGTTTTCATAAACTCTGTAACACTAGAGCTGTATTTTCACAGGAGCTCTCGTCACAGAAAATGAGGCTACAGTCCCGAATGTCAAATAAAATCTACACAGATGATAAATGTTGATTAAAAAATGTGTCCAAATCTGCCTATATATATTTTGAAAAGTGTACTCTTATAGATTAAATCGCATGTAGAAGGTACAAGGTGGGCAATGAAATAATGTTCAGTCTAAAACGCAGTGTTACAAGTTGTGGACACAAAAATAGGTTGTGATTTTCAAACGTTTGCAGAGAAAACAGAACTCCCTGCTCGCAAACACTCAAAATACTATGAGAGTTACTGAAAAATCATCCGTTTTGTCAGAATTTTGAGTTGGTCTCCAACAGTCACAGCTCAGTGAAATAAAATGAATGCACTGTTGTTAGAAAAGTTATTAAGTCACACAAATCACATCCTTGTGGTTCCTCAAACTCTCAGTACAATGAAGAAAAGCTTGGCTAAATTATTCAGTAGAACTAAAAGAACACTGGCAACAAGAGTTCAGCTCATTTCCTGATTTATAACACAGCAAAGAACCGAGAAAACGGTTTCTCTGAGGGGAATCTGAGTTTCACAGAAGTTCTTGGAAGGTGAGTAAGGAAAGGAAATTACTGGCATTTTCCCCTCAATCTGATCTAAGCCATTTTGTGTCATGAGTTGTAGGACTGGGTGAACAGGCAGTTTGGATCATGGTGTCAGATTTCAGACAGTCAAGTTTTTGTATCAGACATCAGGTAGCGTGGATGTACCGGTAACTAAAAAAAAGTTTTAAATGGTAAATGGACTGTACTTATATAGCTCCTTTCTATCTTATTTCAAGATACTCAAAGCTCTTTACACTACAATCTGTGTCCTCATTTACCCATTCATACAGTACTCTACTACAGGTCCTTCTAAAAAAATTAGCATATTGTGATAAAGGTCATTATTTTCCATAATGTAATGATAAAAATGAAACTTTCATATATTTCAGATTCATTGCACACCAACTGAAATATTTCAGGTCTTTAATTGTTTTAATACTGATGATTATGGCATACAGCTCATGAAAACCCAAAATGCCTGTCCCAAAAAAATTAGCATATCATGAAAAGGTTCTCTAAACAAGCTATTAACCTAACCATCTGAATCAACGACGTAACTCTAAACACCTGAAAAAGATTCCTGAGCCTTTTAAAAATTCCCAGCCTTGTTCATTACTCAAAACCGCAATCATGGGTAAGACTGCCGACCTGACTGCTGTCCAGAAGGCCATCATTGACACCCTCAAGCAAGAGGGTAAGACACAGAAAGAAATTGCTGAACGAATAGGCTGTTCCCAGAGTGCTGTATCAAGGCACCTCAGTGGGAAGTCTGTGGGAAGGGAAAAGTGTGGCAGAAAACGCTGCACAACGAGAAGAGGTGACCGGACCCTGAGGAGGATTGTGGAGAAGGGCCCATTCCAGACCTTGGGGGACCTGCGGAAGCAGTGGACTGAGTCTGGAATAGAAACATCCAGAGCCACCGTGCACAGGCGTGTGCAGGAAATGGGCTACAGGTGCTGCATTCCCCAGGTCAAGCCACTTTTGAACCAGAAACAGCGGCAGAAGCACCTGACCTGGGCTACAGAGAAGCAGCACTGGACTGTTGCTCAGTGGTCCAAAGTACTTTTTTCGGATGAAAGCAAATTTTGCATGTCCTTCGGAAATCAAGGTGCCAGAGTGTGGAGGAAGACTGGGGAGAAGGAAATGCCAAAATGTCAGAAGTCCAGTGTGAAGCACCCACAGTCAGTGATGGTCTGGGGTGCCATGTCAGCTGTTGGTGTTGGTCCACTGTGTTTTATCAAGGGCAGGGTCAATGCAGCTATCAGGAGATTTTGGAGCACTTCATGCTTCCATCTGCTGAAAAGCTTTAAGGAGATGAAGATTTCATTTTTCAGCACGACCTGGCACCTGCTCACAGTGCCAAAACCACTGGTAAATGGTTTACTGACCATGGTATTACTGTGCTCAATTGGCCTGCCAACTCTCCTGACCTGAACCCCATAGAGAACCTGTGGGATATTGTGAAGAGAAAGTTGAGAGACGCAAGACCCAACACTCTGGATGAGCTTAAGGCCGCTATCAAAGCATCCTGGGCCTCCATAACACCTCAGCAGTGCCACAGACTGATTGCCTCCATGCCACGCCGCATTGAAGCAGTCATTCATGCAAAAGGATTCCCGACCAAGTATTGAGTGCATAACTGAACATGATTATTTGAAGGTTGGTGTTTTTTGTATTAAAAACACTTGCAGAACGAGAAGAGGTGACTGGACCCTGAGGAGGATTGTGGATTGGTGGGATGAAATATGCTAATTTTTTGGGACAGGCGTTTTGGGTTTTCATGAGCTGTATGCCATAATCATCAGTATTAAAACAATTAAAGACCTGAAATATTTCAGTTGGTGTGCAATGAATCTGAAATATATGAAAGTTTCATTTTTATCATTACATTATGGAAAATAATGACCTTTATCACAATATGCTAATTTTTTGAGAAGGACCTGTAGATCTATACAAAGCTAATTGAACAAATCCTTCTAAAGAGACTAATCAGTGATTTATCACATTCATACACCGATGGGACACACATGAGGGGTTCAGTGTCTTGCCCAGGAACACTCTGGCATGTGACTGCTGGTGGATTCAAACCCCCAACTCTTGCATTGGAGGACTGCTCTAACCACTCAGCCACAGCTGCCCTCTTTATATATATAAAAAACAAAAAAACACCTGGAATAAATCAATCAATCAATTTAGTGACTCGTTGGCAAATCTAAATGCACTGGATACAATGGCTTGTTTTAATCTATTTCGAAATTAAATAAACTAAATCCATATCAATGCATAACCATTTTTCCGATTGAGAAGCGTATTTGGATCAAGTTTAGCACATTTTCGAGATTATGCGGTGGCACATTATTTTAAGAGCTTCAACATATTTTGAGAAAAACGTTAAAAATCCTATTACAGCCAAAAATGTGATGGATGAACTGATGAAGATACTCATAAATCATAGGCAAAACATTAAAATTTAAGTATATCCTGGAATATCTCTCAGTCCTGTGACAAACTGAGATTCTTTTTACGTGACATACTAAAAGACCGGCAGTACATCCTTAATTAGACCGTCCAATATTACTAAAACACCATCAACAGGGTGACTGTCCTGCTTGATTAATAAAAAAGTGGGAAGTTGTAGGTTTCTCACTTTGGGTGCAAGATTAAGATGAAGGTTAATATCCCGGACGAGCCCCCAATTTATGTTGTACCCAATCTAGGAGAGGCTGGAACACAACATGAAGATGATCCAACGTTTTGCATCCTGACCCAATGTTCCACGTCAGGCAACTAGTTAATTTGTAAATAGCTTGTGAGGAATTTTTAGGAGTAGGCTGTCATTTGCTTTCAGGTCATTTTGCTATGTTTTTGTTAGTTCAGGAAGATGAGAAATGGTATTTTATTTTTACACATAGGTAAGTGGAATATTACTAATATACTTCTGCTTTTGTTTGCTATTGTAGCCTGAGCTCACCCTGACAATAGTGAAACTCTATCCCAAAACACCTGTAAATAAATCACTTTATTCTTTACAAATCATCAACCTGTCTCTGGGGCTCCTTGAGTTGTGCAGATGATGAATCACCTCCGTGTTTTATCCTGGCCACCCACTGATGGGGCGTAACAATGCAAGTAAATCAAATATCCTCAATTTGCTGTTTCAAGTAATGGATCTGAAACCTACAAAAAAACATCTGTCGTGAGAATTAACATAAACTGTAATATCAAAGAGCTCAAAGAAACAAATGTTTTAATCTTTAATCAGGTAAATGATACAAATTACTGGAGGTACCAGATCTGTCGTCTTCCTCTAAAAGGAGTGAGTTTAAGCACGAACAGGGGCTCCTACCTGCAGAGTGCTGACGACCTCCTGCATCTTTGCTCGGCTCAGATCCAAGAAGCTTTCAATCAGGTCCCCATCGATGAATCCTGTCGCCTGCTCTGTTTTACGCTCCGTGTGGAAGGACCTCCAGGTGGTATGGTGTCAAGGAAAAAAAAATCTCTACCAGGCATTTACTCTGCCTGAGGGTGGCCCCTCAGGTACAACACTGTAAAGTTTCCCTCAGGCAGAGTCAACAAATATCCAACATGATGAACTGTTTATAACCAGTGTGGTGCTGGTAATCCCTTTTTTAAAGGAGGATGAGTGGAAGCATCAGGCTTGATGGGCTTTGACTGTGAAACATAAGGATTACAACTTTAAATGGAGTCTAATCTGGAAAAATGGTAGATTATTTTGATTAAGAAAAAATATATTTTAATCTACTGTTGGATTGGTGTTGCAAATAATTATTACAACACTTGTTTATTTTATTGTCATTTTTAACAACTTTCTTGTCAACAACATCAGAGCAACAAGCCACTAAAATGTTCCTCCAGCTAAAAATGACGAGAACAAATAATTATTTTAGCTTAGAACAAACAAACAAACAAACATCAAAGGAACAAATCAATATGTACACTAATCCTGTATAAAATGTTCAAAGAACTGTGTTCAAATGGTCATTCAAGAAAATAAGGTTTTGTACAAGAATAATTTGTTCCATTCTCATTTAACCAATTTATCAATCATAAATTTGTTTGTTTTTTTACACTTTGATCTTGATCCAACAAAGTCCTTTACAGTTTCTCATTCACAAAAGCCCTCGGAGCACCTCATAATAATATAACAGCACTTGTACATGCAGCACTTTTGTTTGTTAGAAAAATGCAGCCATGTGTGGCTCAAAGTCCTGCACAGAGACACTTTAATATGAGGCATCTGACTGTAGAGGTTCAGCTCGTCTTCCACCCAGAAGACGAACTGAAGCATGGCCACTAACAGTTCAGCTCCACCACAAATTATATAATGGGATCACACAGCAGAACGGTTACAAATTATTCAATCATGAAATATTTATCAAGCAGCTTCAAAGCCAATTAAGGACACCATTACTGCTTTGTCACCTTATCGGGGCCTTCTGCCAACAAGACAGCCTGCACCTGTCGGTGCAGTTCACCAGATTCACTGTCACGGGCCGCGAGAGTACGTGTGAGTTTACAAAGGATATAAGCTGTGCTCGATCTTCCCCACGCTCTTGATGACCTTGGTGAGGCGGTTCTGTAGGTCGAGCAGGAGGCTGTACCAGCTCTCAGACAGGGACGTCACCAGACCTAGCACACACAGAATGGTTCATCAGATTTGCAACTCACAACAGTTGATGGTAAATCCTTTTAACTCGTCATAAATACTAAGGAACAGAAGAACTTCCGGACTCGATTTATTCCAAGCATAAAAAACAGTCTAATTAATAAATTATAAGATCATAAATCTGACTGCAGTCCTCCAAATGCATGTATAACACTTGTGTGCTGAAAGTAAAATGGCACTAGTTTTATTGCTCAATAATTCAAGACATCTCCCTCGTTTTCAGTGGATTTGTAAAAATCTTACAGCCACACAGTTTTTCAGGGAGTATCGTGTGTTTCTTGATGGCAGAAATATGCTTCAATAATGTTTGGTGAATAAATCTGAACGCTCTGGGGGAAATATTCCGTACAATAACACGGAAATCAAAAGCTCAAGCAAACAAAGGTTTAATCTGTGATGTAGATGTTTTTTCTGCACATGAAGCTATGAAAGTATTCAGAGACAAACTAAGACACAGCAAAGCTGCAACAACTAATTAACTATAAATTAATCTACCGTTTGCCTCAATAGTTTTGTTTATTAAATGAACCAAAAACACCTGATCCTGTGCATTAACGTGGCATCTCTGGTATTTGTTTAATACACGTTTTTATGAGTTCAAATTGATTTAATCTTTATCAATTAATTTTAATGATTTCCTCGTATTATTTATTGTGCACATCTCAAACAATTTTTTGGCTAAGGCTATCGTCTTAAGCAAAAACTAAACTTTGAGCTAAAACCAATATCACAATGAACACAAAAACTTTAATTAGTGTGAGGCGATGAGAAGAACTTTACACATCCACTGTATTCATTAGAAGTTTGGGACTCTTGTAAATATGACATCATTAAAGCCTTTAATGACACGCGAGTGGGGAATTTACGCCAACAGCTGTTTATCTTCAGCACCCCAGCAAAGGATCGAAGCATGTATCCATCTACTGCCTGGAAGTTGAGGTAAGTTGGGAGAACAAGATCTCATGACTTAGAAGAGGACATGTTTTGTTTTGTGTAGCAAACAAAACAAAACATGGATTTGATTACTCGCCTAAATAAATAAACAAATGAATGAATGAATAAATTTCTCAAAATATATTTGGAATACAGTAGACTCTCGCTACTTCGCGGTTCGACTTTCGCAGTTTTTCTAAATAAGATTGGACAAGACACACAATTGGATGATTGATGGATGAGTCGCACGATCAGCATGGATTTTGTATTTAAAATAAATTATTTTAAATTATTTACTGTAGCACCTGTGTGCAGCCCACAGGTGCAGGGAGAAGCTCCCTCCTGCAGCATGTCGATCTTCGCTCTGCAGAAGAAGTGGGCGTGGCCGAAAGCACTGGCAGGTGGCAGAGAGAGCAGGATCATGACATTCTGTGCTCTTAGAGCGTTTAGAAACATTGTTTAGAATATTGCAAGAGTATGGGAAGGGTTTAAAACACCTATACAGTATATATATACATACATATATATATATATATATATATATATATATATATATATATATATACTGTATATATATAGCCACCGTATATATAAATACTAAAATAAACTACTACTTACTACTTGTACTACTATTCCTACTTCACATTTTTTCCCTTATCATAGGTGGACTGAGAACGGAAACCTCTCAATAAACAAGGGACTACTGTACTTTGAACTACAGGTAACTAAAGGTAACTAAGGGTAACTAACGGTAACGTTGTGTAAATCATCAGATGCTGTCCATTTCTGTTCATTGTCTGATTCCATAAAAACAATAAAATTACTCCATCAAATAAGAGAAGGTGAAATAAATTGACATTTACTTAGAAAACAGACTCTGGTGTTGCACTTTCAATGCTTATCGTGATCAGATGCAGGTCAGAATATCTAAAAACAGCTCGTTTGTCCACTTGCTGCTTGTTGTTGTTTTAGGGGACAGATTAATGTCGTAGTCTTGAAGCTTCCTGGAAACATGCATCGCAGCATCTCGCAGAGCGATAAGCCCAGCAGTGGTTATTTATCTCCATTACACGCTGAAGCTCATCTCGGTTTACGAGCTGCTATGGAAACTTTTCACAGGGAAATACGTCTGCGGCTCTCATTTCCTGTAAAACTTTCCTCCGACACTTTTTAAAGGATCACAGAAAGTGCTGAGGTGAAATTATGTGCCGTGCGTCATGAGCTCTGGGAGTGCTGAGTCCAAATGATGAGAACTCCTTGTTTTTCATCTCTGCCATCATTACTGCCTCCCTGAAAGTTACTGGTTTCAATCCGAGTAATGAAGGGTGACAACGTGATTGCCTTCCGTTTTACGTTATTGTCTGGAATGTAAATGTTGGCTTTGACGAAACCGTTGTTACGGATCTTTGTGTGCTTTCTTTTTGTTCCCAGCTTGTACTGCTTTCAGCTCGTTTTCTTTTTTCCAAGATGGGGAATGTCAATTCCAGTTATTCATTGACTGAATGTCAATTTTCTGGGAGATTTTTCAGTAGATCTTCACATTGAATCCCAGGTTTATTCAAGTATTTGCTAGGAAAGGTTCTGAGTGGGCTTTATGTTGTCACTGAGAAAGATTTTCCAGCAAAACAAAAGTGTTCAAAGAAATGTTGGGGATTTATACTGAGCAGCACGGGCAAAGGCTCTGAAGACATAAAGCTCTGGAGTTTATAGCACTGCAAACTAAATCCTGCTCATCTCTACTGGATCAGGGCAGGGGCAAGCAGACAACGGATATGACAAATAAATCAGCAACAGAGATGCGGGGAGGACACCTTTAGGAGTGGGGGTGGGAAAAAAACAAACAAAAAAAACAGACAATTTTACTTGTAAGATTTTGAAAAAACCTAAATTCACATCAAAATCAAAGTTCCAAGAAGGAATGCATATCATCCACAGTACATTTAGACAAAAATCATCTTATGTTGAAAAACGACAGAGGTAAAATCACGTTATGCACATCTCCTGTGATAATGTGAGGTTTCACCAAATGTGTCAGTGCTCAAACTATGTGTTGGGAACAACTCTCAGCTAGTACCACAGCTCAAATTTAGCTCAACTACTGTAATACTGACCAAGTTATAGTATTTTATATGTTGGCTAAGTTGGCTTTGCAGTAGGGCTGGGCGATATGGACCAAAATTCATATCTCCATATTTTAAGATGAATCACGATATACGATATGTATCGCAATATTGTTTTCTTTCCATAAATTAACAACAACATATTTCTGAGTCAAAGCTTTGTCCCAATTGTCACACAGGCACATTTATTAACAAACAGCTGCGACTGTACAAAATAATTTTCTAAAAAATAAACTATTTACATACATTAAATAATAATCCTCTTCAGCTGTGCCGCCTTCACAATGTTAGTAAGCGTGTGTGAAGCAGAAGTGAGGGGCTGCGTCAAGTTGGTGCAGACGGGCAGAAAAAGAAGAACTACACGGATTTTCAAGTTTAATTAAAACACAACGTAGAAATATTGATATAGACAATATAGTCCCATCTTATATCGCGTATTAAATTATGTCGATATTTTTAAAATATTGAGATATCGCCCAGCCCTACTCGGCGGACATCGTGAATGGGATTAACATCAAAGTTTAATCAGTGTATTTCATCACATACAATGCGTGGAAACAGATAGAAACAACTGCTGAATATATGAGAGAATCTCACCAGCAACACCTCACAAAGCCAACATGGTTTTAGCACCAGGTCCTTTCTCAGTACTTGTCTACAAAAGTTTCACAGTGAGCTGATATAACCATTATAAGCAGCTATCAATAAGAGCTTCTGTCACACCCCGTGTTTAGCGAGGGATTGATGTGCTGTTTGTTGCAGACTTTCTTCCTGTGAGTAAGTTCTAAAAACAGAATGGGGATTGAGGTTGACACACCTCACAGTCAGTAATGGAGCTAATTGCCCAGCCAATATGCTGCGTGTGTCAGCCAGAGCTGGTGTTACAATAAAGGGGTGTGATGCTTTGATGACATGTTGTTTGTGCAACTAGCACATGGGGATTTTAAAATGGGGAATAATCAGCAATGATCCATTTTACAGCAAAACAGCTAGTGATAATGGCCACTAACTTCAAAGACTGGGAGATCAGAGAACCGTGTGTGAGTGTAGGGCCTGAAAAATAAAATCCTGCCACTCAGTTCTCCAGCCGATGATTTAACAAGAATAGTATGTGACATTTCTGTTGCATATGTTTTTCATACCTCATCCCTCACATAATGACCGAAGGAGAAGCGCCCCCGCAATCCGGAAAAGAAAAAAGCAGGTAAAGAAAATGGATGGATGTATTCGTCACACTAACTGCACATTGCTGAGTTATTCAAAACGACTCCTGTGACTTTCAAAGCCAGAACATTATGTAAAACTAGGACAGGCTTGTTTGGTTTATTGTAAATAGAGATGAATTGATTATTCAGCTGACTGATTTTAACCAGCCAACATTGGCCACCTTTAAAAAAAATTGGCAATCGGCCATGCATGTACACATTTAGTGAATTAGCAAGTACAAAATTAAAGCTGCTGCAGCAGTTACTACAACCAGCACACAATTAGTTTAATTGCAAGAATGCTCTTAGGTATGTTTTTTTATTTGCACAAGTTCTTCAAGGGGATGTTAAATATGTTTATTTATATCAAGCAATTATTGTGGCCAGAAAAAATAATCGTTGTAAATCAGCCATATACTGTTGTGATTTCTAAAGATCGACATCGGCCATAATAAAAAATGCATATTAGTAAACTTTTATTTGTAAATAAGCAAAGATTACTTAAAAAGCAAGCTGTTCGGGGATCATGAGAAGCTGCTTTGTGAAAAGGGTGAATGTTTCCACAGGAATCTCAGAATCTTGTAGAAAAAGGGTTGTATATCTTAAAAAGCAGACCACTTCTTTTAATGCTGAACTAAAAAAAACGATCTTGTTTCTGTTTGTTCTGTGCGTCTTTAAAAATGTATCCTGCAGAGCAGCTGGGTTTTCACAGGGTTCAACAGATGATCATTATGAGAGAACACAACTTTTGTTTAATGCGAGGATGGACAATGAATAGCTGCAGTTACAGTACTAAGACGAGCTGGTTAAGGCAGTACGGTCACTGCGCTGTGAAGGCTGGCAGATACCTGTAGAACATTCAAGAACGAGTTCCCAAAATGTCTTGAAACGTTTGCAGGGGTTCACAATTTCCTTTGTGAATTGCAGAGGCCTGAAATCTTGTTGCTTGAATTTTGAACAAAAATGTGTGACAAATCCATCCATCATCTTTTACCGCTTCTTCCTTTTGGGTCTCGGGGGTCACTGGTGCCCATATCCAGCAGTCACTGTACGAGAGGCGGGGGACACCCTGAACAGGTCTCCAGTCCATCACAGGGACACAGAGACAAATGAGACAAACAACCATTCACTCTCTCACTCACACCTAGAGACAATTGAGAGTTACCAATCAGACTAACATGCATGTTTTTGGTCTGTGGGAGGAAACTGGAGTATCAGGAGAAAACCCACTCATGCACAGAGAGAACATGCAAACTCCACTAAGAAAGGTCCCTCGCTGGGATTTGAATCGGGGACCTGCTCGCTGAGAGGCAGCAGCTCTACTGCACCGTGCCGCCTGTGTGTGACAAATTTTCTCACAAAATAGTTGCAGAGTTGTTGCAGGTGTTTCAAACCATCTTACACCTTTATTTTATTCTGATTTGTAATTCTAGAGTGCTGGATTTGGGTTTTGGAACCTGCACGAGAGCCTAGTTTAACCAAATCAACGACTGGTTGAGCCAAGGTGGGATGGGCAGAGGTGAGCAATAAATTAATGTGCATGGAATGAAGTTTTGTAAGTCATGCAAACAAAAACAGGACATGATTATCTTAAACTGGACAGTACAACATGACTGGATTTAATCACAGACAAGTTCATTTCAATGAGACTGCAACAGAAAATTTGCCTTTTTTCTCACAAATTCAAATCAATTACTCTCTAACAGTGGCAGCTCAGTGAGATAATGGTTTAAGTTATAGTTCACTAGCTTCTACAAAAGACTTCACAGATGGTCCTTTGTAACCCTCTTCTGTGTGAGATTAAATACAAAAGTCAGATAATCCTGCCATGCTGACATTTTGCAAATGACACAATACTTAGCACTTTGCATAAATACTAAACCAAGGAGAATGATGCAATGAAGTGATTTAAATAAAACAAAGAACGTCATTATTTCTGCATTCTAACAAAAAATAAATTAATGCAGGGTTTTAGAAAAAGAGTGTTAAATTATTGCTTAACCTATGCCTTAGCCAGGCATTTAACAAAAGAAACTAAAGAAAAAATGCACATCTGTAAGGCTACAGAGACTGTAGACTATACCATAATGATTGCCTTTTGACAGGCATATAATAATAAAAAGGGATAAAAAAGTGAACCTCAGAAGTGCTGTGATATGACTTATTTCCACCTCCATTCAGTTTTTAGTCTGAAGAGCCAGACATGAACATGGAGAGCATTTTTCTTTCACCAAGAAAGCAAATGCTTTAGAATACAAACATTTTAGCCTCGACTGTATCTTGTGTATAAATGCTCGGAGTGTGAAATTATTCGTACACCTACCGATCATCCCGTTAACGGTGCCGAAGAGCACGGACCCTTGGGTGGGCGTAGAGCTCTCCACGAGGTTCTGCAGCACCAGCGAGCCGTGGCAGAAAACATTTACAAACTCGCCGAGGTGGAACACCCCCACCTCCTGCAGGTGCTGCCTCTCCTCATCGGTGGTGGCCGCGCTGACCGCGACAAGGATGGCAGGAAAGGAACACAAAAGAGAAACCACAAAGAGGAGTGAGAACAAAAAGACAAAACCATGTCAGAGGCTAAATTGAAACATTGTCGGGAGCAAGACTATCGATTAATCAAATAAAAAATCAGGAGGGGCAGAGACACAAGAAGTTCTGCAAAAGGTCAGAGAATGATAGAGAGGTAATGAATAAAAGGTTGGGAAACAGTGAAAAGAGCAACAGGAACAGAGACGTGATACAAAAATAAAGGTCAAAAGCATTGAGAGCTCCAACCTGACGTATTAGATGGATAATGAGTGAAGGCACAAGTGTAACACATGCACTTTCTGAACACATCTTTCTTCCTTATGCTTAAAGTCAACACATGTCCAACAGTGAAATTACTGCCAAGAAAAAAATGTGTAGGGTGGCTAAAAGCACAGCTACAATATAATAATTATTTCTCAAACAGGACAATGCTGCTTTATCACATTTGTATCAATGATGTTGATCTAAACCTATCATGGGACTCTGTAGGAGGAACGGTCCTAATGACCCTGTGAGGGCCTGAGCGGTCAAAATGTAGAGGGGATTTTGAACATTCTTTGGCCGTTCAGTTTTTGTGGAGCAGCTCAGAGGAACACAATAATTGCAACAAAGAAATTCACAAGGCAATACAGTCATTGCACTTTATCGTCTATAATCAGAAAGATGTAATGCTTTGCTCACCTGTCCTTTTGGCAGACGAACAGGTTAAAGGCGTTTTCTGCCCCCAGGAAGTTGTCATCGTCAAGAATGTTCACAGCACTCATCCAGTTGGGATTAAAATCACGAGCAATCTGAACAAAAATATGAAATATGTTGTAGAAAAATGTTACAGCAGAACAACTGTCGACCAAACCCAATATTACTCTTGCCTCCACGTGTCTACAAGGTTATCTGAGAAGTGTCGTTTCCAAACAAGCTGTCCCCTCCAATGCTTCATCGCGTCCACTGTCTGTTTCTAAATCTGTGCAATCAATATTCATCTGTTGGAGCATCGTATGTGGAAAGACTCATTCACAGCCTTTTAATCAGGCACAGAGCACTTTGATTATTTTTAAACTCAAGTTTATTAGATAATTCTGCAAGATATATGCAGTGATTATTTTAATACAAAGTCCAAATCAAACGGTTCCTGTTAGGGTGCTTCTTTCAACATAACATACTGGCCCATCCATCCATTCATCCATTATCTATACATGCTTCTT